TAGGGTTTTTGCCACTCAGGACATCCCCTTCAGAGTCTACCTGTGGTGCCATGGCTGCAGCCTAATGGGACATGAGCCGTCCTGCCCCCCTAATGGCCCATTACAGCATAAGGAAAAGCCATCCTGTTTCCACAGCATTTATCTGTCAGCAGGAGACTATTACGAGAGCACAAACTCACATTGTATTAGCGTTATCAGTTAATTATGATCCTTGGGACATGGGCCAGCCAATGGTAGGCCAGGGTGCTGACCACCCCTTGGGATATAACCCTGCACCCCCAATTCTAGCATGTGAGACCAGTGGGCCGGCAGAGGTGTGGGGCTGGAACCGGCCATCTGGGGGCTCCGTGACACACGAGTCAGGCTCTCAGTGTAGGCCAGGCCCCCCACAGCCACTACAGATTATTGAGGGGCACACTTTCCTGTACAGACCCCCCTCAGCCCTCTACTTGGTGGGGGGCAACAGAAGCATCTTGGAGTGCTTGAGCGCCTGTCCACTGCGGTACCTTCTCCATCCTGGTAAGAGTGGCCACCAGTCTGGTGTGTTTCCCCTGGAACATGGCATGGGAGGGTACAGGCACGAGCTCGGGGCAGGGCATAGGAATGGCCTCCCACGGAGTCCTCACACTTCTGCACACAGGGCGCGTGGCAGAGATGCTCCGAGTCCTGTGGGCTTTCAACGTTCCTCAGCACTCTTAAGTCTGCGCCATGCCTGGTGGCTCCTGTGAAGCTTGTGGCTAGGCTTGGAAGAAGAGAGAGGGCTCCTCTCACTGGGGAAACACCGCACAAGGAAGGGCTTCCAGTTCCCGAGAAATGCAGTTGGCCGATGCTCTGGGTGCACAGAAATGATGGGACTCCCAGGGCCCAGGGGCTGCCTCAAGCAGGGGTGAAGCACCCAGATGAGGTTCGGTCAAGAGGGTCAGGTGTTCGCACTGGGGTCAGAGGAACAGGTTATGGCGAAGAAGCAGGAGTGGCCCTGGAGATGCAGAAGTGAACCAGAGAGGAGCCTGGTTAAGGCTCTCGCTCTGGGAAGGAGAGGGGTGGACCAGCAGCCCTGTTTGTGGTGCTTTGGGAGCCTGGGGAGTTTGGGGGCTAGAGGATACACTGTGTCTGGAGTTGAGGTAGGGAGGTTCTTACCCATCTGCCACCCAGAGCACAGCCTGTAAGGCACAGTGGGGCAGAAAGCGCATCCATCAACTAGTGCCTCCTGGGGGGGGGGGGGAGGGGAGCACAGAAGCCCCCTGTGTCTAGGTCCAGGAAGTGTTGGGGTAGGGTCTGCCCAGCCTGCATTCCTTAGGGAAGGACTTGACCTCTGGGGAGGCAGGAGCCGGGACAGGGAAGTGCAGGGACTGGGGCTGCTGTGTGACCTTGGCAGGTCAGCACCACACAAGGAAATGCACTTATTTCCTATTTGCCAAACCTCCCCCAGCTTCTTAACGATTCCCAGTCCCTCCTAGGGAGAGAGGCCTGTGGCGGCCAGACATATCTATTTAAAAGTGCTTGTCACTGACCAGAGCGAGATGTCGAACCTCCACACTGTCCAGGACTCCAGTCTGGGCAGCCTTTTATTCCAGTTCTTTTGCCGGACTTGCCCCTGGAAGGGGGAAGAGGGCAGGAGTGAGCCCTACAAGAAAACAAACGGGACTTGGCAGGGAGGATCACAGTTACCTGCCTCAGATGAAAGTCAAGAGGGACGCATGCTGGGGTGGTGGCACCAAGGGCTGGAAGGCACGCTCCGCATGGGGGGCTCCTAGTTTGAGTCCTGGTACAGCATTGTCTCCTGAGCATCACTGGAAACAGCCCCCAAGGGTGACCTCCCCCCTTCAAGAATAGCCCATGAGGTGAGCATAGCGGAGTGTGGCCCAAGCGACAAAGCAAGAAGAAAAGGAAAGTATGAAATGATGAATGGCTGAAAGAATTTATTTTTGGGGGCGGTGGGAAGCACACCTAGCAGTGCTCAGGGCTGACTCCTTGGCCCTGCACTCAGCGATCACTCCTGGCAGGGCTCGGGAGACCATCTCAATCAGGGATTGTACCCGGGTGGACAGAATACAAGGCAAGGGCCCTCCCCTCTGGACTACCGTCCGGCTCTGACTTTCCATCTTAAAGGAACCTAAGAGTTTTGCTCACACCACGGACACCCCCTCGCTCCGCTTTGTTCTCTGGAGAAAGATGACTTTGTCAAGGTCACACGGAGTGGCCCAGACCCATTCCCAGCGTCCTCCGAGTGTTCCACACTGCTGCCCCTCTGGCTACAGGCTGGTACTGCATTGGCATGGGCAGCAGTCCTGCCCTCCTGTTTGCTGGCTGAGGACTGAGGGAGGAAGGCTCCCGGTCAGGAGACACGGGGAGCAGCCACCTCAGCCTGCAGGGCTGGCTGGGGGCTCCCCGCGCCTCCCTCTGCAATTCCTAGGCAGAGAGAAAGAGCTTGGGCTCAGGGCTGCTGGCCGGGCAGCTGGCTGGGCCATGGAGCAGGGTAGCCTGGGTCTATGGTTCTCCTTCCGGCCTGCAGACCGTGGCTCGGCCAGTTCCCAGGGGACACCCCTCCCTGCCTTCACCGCTCCCCAAGGCTGTGTCTCCGGTGTAGACACAAGCACCGTGCAGTTTCGCCTCACTCTTGAATCAGCAGGACCACTCCTTGGACCCAGTCCAAGGAAATGCTTTGGGTTCCCTGCTCTGGGCTAAAAGGGTCTCTCTGTGCAGGGTCCCACAACTGTTCTGTGTACCGAGTTAAAAGTGATGTACCCACATAAAGTCAGCTGGTCCCCTACAACCAGTCAGGGTCTCCCTGCCTCTGTGGGCTCGGCACACCGCCCCAAATGACAAGAGGTTAACAATTCATCTAGGAAGTCTTTATTGAACAACTGTTATGTCCCAGGCTCAGACCCTGCCCATGGAGCTGATGGTCTGTCCAGAGTGCAGGGTGGATGCATTACTCATATCCATATAGCAACCAGATACTTTATCCAAAAAGTGAGCAACAGAAGGTTCTGGAAGGTGGGTGTTCTACGTGGCGGGTGCAGAGACTGAGCCTGGTGACACGGGAGCTTTTCTTTGAGGGAACAACAAGAAGGACTGCTTCTCTCTCCTAACTGCAGGGAGAGAACATGATATGCATATTTCTTTCTGTTTGTTTGGTTTTTGACACCCACCCCACCCCCAGCGATGCTCAGGGATTACTCCTGGCTCTGCACTCAGGAACTCCTCCTGACGGTGCTCAGGGGACCATATGGGGTGCGGAGGATTGAACCCTGGTCTGCCATGAGCAAGGCCAATGCCTTACCAGCTGTAATATTCTGCCAGCCCCAAGGTACCCATTTTGAAGAGTTCCCTCTTGCCCTATATTTAGAGGATGGAATCCAGAGAACCAGACACCTTCCTCAGGGTAGAGATGGAGGTGTGTAGAAGCCAGGCTTGAGGAAGGTGTCTGGGCATCCCACATGCCATCTGAAATGCCACTCATGACCTCTGTGATTTAAAAAAAAAAATCGAGGACCGTGTGTGTGTGTTGTGTGTGTGTGTGTGTGTGTGTGTACACACGTGCATGTGGGGGGTGTGTCTAGTGACAATACAGACATCTTCATCCATCTCCATGAGATGCTCCCTGAGCCCTGTGCCCGGAGAATCCCACGCACTCCCCCACTTCAGCATGGATGAAAAATCTCAGCTCTGCTTCCCAGCCGGCGCACACCTCCATTTATCCAAGTCAAGTATCATCTGTGGTGCTCCCGCCGGCTGCCCACTCCCCAGCACTCCCCCCCCCCACAACACTGGCTCCTCCTAGGGATCCCCAGGCCCTCCAGGCTTTCACTGCTGAGGTGCTTGAAAGCTGCCTGCTCTTCCACCCCATTCAGACATGATTTTGATGATCAAATTATGGCTTTTCCCTACTGCTCATTGTCTTCCGCAGCTGATAGGAGAACAAGGTGAGGACAGGGGGAATCTTTCCTCAGGGCCTCCCTCCCTCCTTTAACTAATTCTATACTTGCCTTCGCCTCACACTCATTTGAATCATCAAATTGATTATTATCCCAGTGGCTGGCACATCTCACAAGAAGAAGAGCCCCAGAAAAAAAAAAAAAGAGGAGGGTTGGAGAGTTGACATATTGCTGAGTCTGGTAGAGTGCCACCCTAAAGTCGGGAGTTCCAGGAAGCAGGAGAGTTTATAGGGATGGGGTGCGGTTGGGGGTGGGGGGGCAGAAATCAGGTGTCAGGTGGAAGAGCCCTGTCTGCTGGGCTGCCTCCAAGTGGAGGTGACGGGAAAGCTGGTGGTCCTAACAACACCTGTTTTAAACCACAAATCAGCAGGCATTTGCTGGTGCCTGCGCCCTGGGGCAGGGCGGGCTTCTTTTCCACAGCCCCGGGAGCATTCTACAGCCCCACCCCCCTCCCCCAGACACTCTCTGCAGGAGAGCGGTTCAGGACCCACTGTCGCGCAGGCGTTGGGGACCCGCAGAGTGGAGGGTGAGGGTCTGTTTCTTTTCTGTTCTCTCCCTGGGATGACCCTTTGCACTTTGGTGCTTCTCCTGGGAGGCTGTGAATTTCTAAGGCCGGGGCGGACCTCTCGTCCTTGGTGAGAGGGCAGGGAAATATGACTCATTTTTTAAACATGGAAAACCACCCTCTTCCCAAATGCTTGACGGGGGGAACCCTGGAGGTCTGCCAATTAAGGTGGAGGGGAGGGTCTGTAAAGCTGCAAATCTTTCACCCCACCCCCAGTACCACTAGCTGGACAATATTTCTCTCTCTCTCTAATGGAGAAGAGCGCAGGCCTTGCGGCTCTAACACCTGAGTCCTCCTACTCCTCTGGACGTGGGGACCCCGCGTGCGCGTCCGGTTCCATTGAAGTCTCCCAGGCGCGCCCCCCACCCCTCCCCCCGCCCCGCTCGAGTCTGTCACTTTAAGTCCAGCCCCTGAGAGATAGCCAATAGGAGCCAAACCATACATCAGTCTGGCTGCCTTAAAGCTACAGTAGGGTTAGTGGGCTCCAGGTCTCGGGTGCCCGCGCCGCCTCCGCGGCTGCCCGTCCCCGCTGCCCGCTGCGGGTGCGTGCGTGAGTGGGCGCGCGGGGCTGGGCGCGCTCGGCCCCCGGCCTCCCGCCCGGCCCGCCGCCGCCTGCCCGTGCGCCCCTGCCCCGGCGCGCACCTCGCCTGTGCCCTTCACGCGCTCTTCGGCGCCGGTGCCCGCCGCCTCTTTCTCCACCAAGTGGGAATGCTCCAACGGGACTGATGGACGTGTCGGAACTCTGCATCCCGGATCCCCTGGGCTACCACAACCAGTAGGTGCTCCGCGCCCCGGGGGTGGGGGTGGGGGGTCTGGACGTCTCCTCCTGTCCCGCGCGCGCGGCGCTCCGTGTCTCGGGGAGGAGGAAGGGGTCTCAGTTCTGGGAGCCCTGCAAGTGGCGGGGACCCCCGGGGCTTTGCGGGCCACGTCGGAAGGGGGAAGGCGCACGCACACTTTCTAGGGCTTCTTCTCCCGCGTCTCCAACTTCTCCCGCCACCCGCCTTTGGCAAACCCTGACTTTTCCCGGGGAGAGCCGCGCTTGAGCGTGCGCTCTGGTCTTTCTCTCCACTGTTCCCGCACGGGGAGAAAAAATATATATATATTGGGAGTTTTCTGGGACTCCGGGAGGAGCAAGTCAGAACAGGTGCGGGAAGGGCAGGAGAAGTCCCGGAGGAGAAGCGCGGGGCGGGGGGTCCCCAGACCTGGACGCTCATTTCCAAACTGGGCATGAAAAATGATCCTGGTAAGGGAGCGAAGTCGAGCGGAATCTGGAGATCCTGGAGACCGCAGCGCTGGTCCAGTGGACCCGGTGGGGTGTCCCGAGGGCGCGCACGTGGCACCCGACAGCCGGGGGGGGGGTGCAGGGGAGGGGACCCCCGCGTGCTCGGGCAGGTGGGGGGGGGGATGCATTTTCCGCCAGGTGTGGGAACTGCCGTCCGGTCGCAGGGGCCGAGGCAAACCAAACGCAAAGTTGGTTCCCTGCGTTTGGAGGGACCCACGGAACCGATCGGAGCGGTGTCCTGCTCACTCCTGCTGGGGCGGCTTTGCCCAACCTCGCGGGACCCGGGGGTGGTCGGATCCGCCAGGGCGCACGCGGCTGGAGCGGCGCGACCCGACTCCCAGGAACCGCGATTCCCGGCCCGGATCGCACGCTCAGCGCTCAAAGAGGAAAAGTGGGAAGCGGGGAGTCCCCTACCGCACCGGCCCACCCGGGGTGCTGGGTCCCGACTGGTCACAGCGAGGGGCCTCCGCTACCAGCTCGATTCCTCCCGCAAACCTTCAGAAGCACCCCGGGGACCCACCCCGCGTGTTTGCTTCCTCGGGCACCGAGCGCCCTCAGCGCCCCGGGCCGGTGGTAATACCCGGGCCCTGGGTATGGGCACTCCGAGGGACCCTCTCAGCTGGCTTTTAAAAATTAAAATCACAATTAGACGACAACTTCAAAGTTCTCGCGAGCCTGCTTAACTTGGAGCGCGTCTGGCTTCTCTTTTTTTTTTCCAGAAGCAAACTAAATTCGCCCAAGTCAGTTCGCCCCAATGTCCTCTCTCTCTCTCTCTCTCTCTCTCTCTCTCTCTCTCTCTCTCTCTCTTCTTTGCCGCACCGCTCCCACTCCCCCCCCCCCAAAGAACCACGAGATCATTAAAAATAAATACTGGGTAGGTGAGGGTGGGTGGCTGCACAGATCCCGGCTCTGAGCCCCGAGATGGGGGTGGTGGGTACCATGCCTGGCCGAGGAGGCAACTTTGGAGCTTGTGCATGACGGAGTCTGGTGCTGTCACACTGACCTTTTTGGTTCTAGTTTGAGCAGACAACCCCTTTAGAGTCAGCCAGAATTTAGACAGCAGGTAGGAAATGAGAAGGATGGGCCCTGGGTCAAGGGCGCTGATAAATTAAAATGCATTCAGACGTCCATCCGCTTGAAAAGGGGCTCTTCCTCCTTTGAAAAGGTTGCCCAATCTCACCTGCAGAGTGGCCGGCTAGGATGCTGCAGAGTGCTGCGTCCTCCCCAAGCCAACAGCAGCCTGCCCCGGGGAGCCAGTGAAAGGAGATTCAGGCCCCCCGCTGGTGGGGTTCTTTCCCGAAGTCACCCCATCCTACAAATACCAAGTGTTTCAATTCTTTAGGCTCCCGTGCCTTGTCCCTTCTCTGGACTCCACATGTGTCTGTATTCACCTTCTCTGCCTCAAGTCATAGCCGATCCCTGTGCAAATTCATGGGAGGGAGACTTTGACTATGGGCACCCGGAGGAGGAAAGCAGTGAAATGTGGGGTCGGGGGGAACCATAGCAGGTTGGGGATTCATTGAGGTGTGGGCACTGTTGGCAGGAATGGAGAAGGGCCGCAGGAAGGAATGAGGAGGTGGAAGGCCTGGGTGTGTGGGGTGGAAATGGAAATCATTTGTGAGGGAAACTTGACGGGGTGGATACTTACCCTCCCTGGCTTCCTTGCAGTGAACTCTCCTTCCACTCAGCGAGGCTCAGGAAAAGGCAGCCATACAGGAAGCACAGGGAAAATAGCAGGAATATACCTGCCATCCCCACGGAATCTCAGTGAGGTGCTCCTTGGAATCCGTGACCAGGCTGGGCAGTGTTCCTGTACACATGTACTCATGTGTGGACCTGTGTCTGCTGTGGTACAGGGGCACAGAATTTCCCAGGAAGGGCTTCTAGAGGTCAAGAAGCTGATGGTGTGTGTGTGTGTGTGTGTGTGTGTGTGTGTGTGTGTGTGTTTAGGGGGCAGGGAGGTGAATGAGAGGGGTTGTATCGGTCTGATCACACCCTCCCCCAACCCCATCTCACTTCTTCACAAGTAGCTTTCGAGGCTTTGGAAGGACCAGGATGAATGCATCATTCTCCTAGGGAGACTTCTGGGGAGCAGGGCTTGGTAGGTTCCTTACTTTGTACGCAGTTGCTACCCACTGCTGCTCTTCCGAGCCCCGAGAAAACCCAAGGTCGCAATCACCACTGACGGGTTAGGAAGGGCTCCCAGTCTTTCTCACCTGCTAACGTAACAAGAGCATATCTGGGTGCTTTGGTGTTCACACTTTCCCCAGGTGAGAAATGCACGCACACACACACACACACACACACACACACACACACCAAGAAATGCACCCACACGGTTGCACCCACCCACACACACCCGTGTCTTCCTACCTTTCTGTCCTTCATTTTCATTTTCCTGTAGCCAATCCTGTAGGTGACTCCATTACCATTTCTAATCAATATTTTATGTACATACATAATCAGCTGGAGTGGGAGTCAGTGTGCCGGCCGGCGGGTGTCTGTGTACAAACGTCTCCCTGCCCTGGCCAGCCGAAGACTATTGGCATAAAAACCTGGGGGTTATTGGAGGGGGGAGGGGGGCTGCCTCTGCCTTCCGATGCCCACTTTGGCTGATGTTAAAGAAACAAAGAACAAAGTGTCCTAGAGGTAAGATATGTGGGTTCACACGCGGGGAAAATGCCACATGGTAATTCAGAACCACTGGCCCAGAGAAAAACAAAGGGGGGAATTAATTTTTAATGGTATGTTTGGAACTAAATCAGTGAAGAGAGGGGGTCCTGATTTTCCTGGGGAGGGGCTCTAGGGGGCCCCTGTGCACCCTTCAGGAGTTCTGGGTTGCTGGGGGGAGCAGCTTGGGGTGTCAGGGGGCTGGGCTTGTTCAGCACCCCCAGGCAATCCAGGAGGAAACTGGGAGGCCAGCAGGGAGGGCCCCGGTGCCCAGAAAGTCCCTTTCCAGCTCAGTGACATCCTGATAACTGGAAATTTCCTCTGGAAGCTTATTCTCTTTCATCCAACTCCCTCTGTTTTAGAAACAGCCCTCTGTTTAACCAGTACTTAGCACCGATGAAAAGATGTTTCTTGAAAAGGCGTACATGGAGGAACAACTGATGCCCTTCCAACCCCTCACCACCACCAAAACAGGAACCTTTTCATGCTATTGACTCGGAGGAATCAATACATATTCCATTTAGTCCCAGAGATGGGAGGCACGGGGACTTTCGGGGAAAGACTGCAGGGGGAGTAACTGCCTGCTGGGACATGTTCCTGGCACAGTCCTGCCTCCAGGAAGGCCCGCCCCCCCCCCCCCCCGCAAGCTTGGGGTCCCCCTAACTCCACCCTGCAGCTCTGTCCCTGCTGGCAGGTGTGGGCCCGGGGGAACCTGTGGCCACATGGTGGTTTTTTTTGTTGTGTGTGTGTGTGTGTGTGTGTGTGTGCTTTTTTGGGGTCACACCCGGACGTTGCACAGGGGTTACTTCTGGCTCTGCACTCAGGAATTACTCCTGGCAGTGCTCGGGGGACCATATGGACCATATGAAATGTCGGGAATCAAACCCATGCAAGGCAAATGCCCTCCCCACTGTGCTATCGCTCCAGCCCCGGCCACATGGTTTTTTTAAGATCATGTAGACTCATGGTTCCGGAGCACTCTGCACAGTGCTTTTCTGCAGGGGAGCCGAGGAGTATCCTGGGCTGCCCCAGAAGAGGGTCCCTTGGTGCAGGCTGTTGAAGGAGCAAAATTTGGGAGCAGATTCGGGGACAGAGATGTTCTGGCCGGCTGCTGCAGGGACTCTGGGATCTGTCTGCGGCTTCCTCAACATGAGGAATATTCTTGGTGGTTCTAATTTGAAGGGGAAGGAACAGATATATAGACCAGAATTCACTTTTGTTTTGTTTTGTTTGTTTTTTTTTTTTGCTTTGGGGGTCACACCCAGTGATGCACAGGTGTTATTCCTGGTTCTGCACTCAGAAATTACTCCTGGTCGTGCTTGGGGGACCATATGGGATGCTGGGAATCGAACCTGGGTTGGGCTGCGTGCAAGGCAAACACACTACCTGCTGTGCTATCACTCCAGCCCCCAGAATTCACTTTTTTGAAGGAAAGTGCAGCCCACATGCTAAAGCCTACCCCCGGCCCTACCCATGCCTTCTCCTAGCTATGGGGGATCCTCAGCCCCTGCCCACCCTTCCCTGGCAGTGAGGCCCTTCGAGGCTCTTCCTGCTCCACCAGATCAGCCTGGAATTAACCAGAACCCCTCTCCATTCTGCGGGCGGCTTCCGTCTTCCAGGTGTGTCACTCTGGACCATCCCCCCACCCCACCCCTGCCCAGGGGACCCCAGCGTCCTTTGCTTGTGTACCCTCCGATGTGTTCTGCTGTGACTGTTTTTTTTAAGGGTTGGCGGGGGGGGGGGGGTCCCCAGACGGTGCAGGGAGTGTGAAAGGCACCCCTTGGGGTGGGTTTAGGCCAAACCAATCTGAGTCCACATTAGCT